TGAGTGTATAAAATGATGGAAAAACAGGTACAGAAAGTCTTCAAAATTTACAAACAGAAGCAGTAAAATGGGCAAAATGCAAAAAGAGGTACAAAAGTTACTTGATATGTATTAACATCCGAATAAGTAGCAGACTCCACTGTGTGGCTTGGCTTACTGCTGTTTTTCCTTTTAAGATCCAGCTCAAGTCTCTTCCACTCTCACTCTCACACAACAGCACCTTAGCAAACATCTCTCTCTAGTATCTATCACTTATCACACTGTTATAGTGTCCATTCTTGTCCATCTCCCCCACCGGGTCACAGACTTGAAGACAGAGATGTGCAATTTATCTTTGCCTCCCTGGTGCCTATCACAGTTCCAATCACAAAAAAGGCACTCAGCTGAATAGAATAATATTTATTAAACAATATCAATTGTCCAATCCATCCATCTCTAACTTAAAAAAAAAAAAAAAAAGGCTCAGAGGGTCTTACGTTCAGGTCTTTGTAGTTCAGATTGATGACCAGCCCAAAAGGTCGCCCACCCATGGGTTCTGCAGGAATGAAGGAGTACTCAAAAGTTGCCTGTCTCTGGGGTGGCACGACAGTGTTCAGAGGAAGAGCTGTGAAATTCTGGATATAAAACTGATAGTCCTGAGGATAACGGAATGAGGCATCCAGGGATTCAATAATAAAATCTTCTGTACCCTTGTTTGTAAAGCCTACCAGGAACTTCACAATGTTATTTGCTGGAAAATCTGAGAAACAAAATAATAGACAAGAAAATTAGAACACATTCAAAGAGTACAAACTACAAAGTAGACATTATTAATGGATTTTGGTATCCGTTCCTGCTGCATGTGGACTTGGTTTCAGAATCCTTTTCCATACAATACTCCAGTCACCCAGTAACTAGTAACGGGATCGGTACATAAACTAAAACCGTTTTGTTGGTACCTAGCATTTCAACTTAGGGGCTCAACTGAGCATCTCAAGTTCAGGCCAGATCACATCCAGATTATGTGGTCTGAGAGAGCTGTGTACTTTTAGCAGCAAGATTATCTGGAGCAGGATTACAAATCCTGGTGAGGTCATCTTTACCTCCAACTCAGTATATTAACTGTACAGATAAATGGAGAGAAAAGTGACAGAAAGATAAAGTCAACAGGTACACCTGAAACTTAGTTTTTCGTTAGAACATAAAAAATTAATCAGGCAATCCCTATCCATTTTAAGCAATTAGTCAAAATGCAATTTGAAGGGAAGATCCAAGGAGGCAGCTACAAAATAAACAGAAACAAAAAAATCAAATTATACTTTTCGTAGGTATAAAGTTAAAAAGTACACAGAAATAAAACAGAAAATTTGAGAAGACCTAGAAAATTAATAACTCTCAATATTAAGTGTTCAATAATCATACTGTAATCTACAGAGCTGAGTTTCACCCAGTACAGCACAGGTTGTATGGTCAAACAGATCTGGCTCTGAATCCTGCCTCCGCAATCCATTTATGAGCTGGGTAATCTTGGACATGTTTCCTAACTTCTGTAAATGTCAGTTCAATGATAAATATGCTCATAGGGTTTGGATAATACATGCTCATAGGGTTAGGATTAAATAATACATGCAAAGTATTGAGAAAATATAGCCCTGAAAAAATACCAGCCATTGTATTCATTTTCTTTTAGTAATACCTAGGCTCTAACCAAGGCCTAACTGGGAAGATTTAATATTTCACTAACACTTAATACTCAAAGTATGACAGTTACTTTGCTAAGGCAGTCTGAAAAAGTTTAAAAACAACTATCTTTGAAGAAGAACATTTAATTTCTAGTTAAACTGGGTAATATTTATTTTTCCCTTTAGTTTAGAGGCCAGCAATACTACCTTAAAGATATGGGTATTCATATTACATATCTCTCTCTCGCTCTCAAAAAAGGTTTTCCACAGTACTTGTTTGCATCATACTTGTTATGCAAAAGAGAAAGATGAATAAAGATCTTAAGCATTACCAATGCTTCCCCTCCAAAGCAAGCCTGTCATTTAAAAATTCCTATGTCTGGGGCCGGCCCGGTGGCACACTTGAGAGTGCACTGCTTGGGAGCGCGGCGGCGCTCCTGCCGAGGGTTTGGATCCCATGTGGAGACTGGTTCCCGCTCACTGGCTGAGTGCGGTGCGGGCGCAACACTGAGGGTTGCAATCCCGTTGCCGGTCCCCAGTACGGGCACGACACCGAGGGTTGCGATCCCGTTACCGGTCAGTAAAAAAGACAAAAAGGAAAAAAAAAAAAATTCCTATGTCTGAATTAAAACTAATAGTTCTTCTGTACCTTCTCCTTTTACAAACAGGATAGTTGTATCTGCACTCGGTGAAGCTTCAGGTTCACTAGAAACATCCTCTTCCTCTTTATCTTCTGCCTAATAAAAACATGAAAAAGGGATTACTATGACAGAAAAATACATCATTATTTAAAAATAAAGACTTCTTTAGATTTGGGGCAAAATATTGCTTCTCCATGGCTTTGTTGGGATTAGTGATATGAGTATCATTGTATCTCATTAGTTAAAGTAAAACTTCCAGAGCAGTGAATCTGACAGCAATGCACAAAGCAATTCCCAGGGGATCTTACACATTTGATCCAGGTCTAGAGAGAAGCCTGAAATTCTGTATTTCTAAAAAGCATGCAGGAAATGCCAATGCTGCTAGTACTCAGACCACAATTTTAACTGCAATATTTTAGAAAAGGGACTGATAATCTTTTTCTGTAAAGGGCCAAATAGCAAAGATGGCTTTGCAGACCATAACATCCCTGGTTGCAACTACTCAAACTCAGTGGCTGCAGTGTGAAAGCAGCCAGAGACAATCCATAAATTAATGAGCATGGCTGAATGTGGCCTGCAACCACATTCTGACCACCCCCACACCCCTACCCCCGCCCCCCTGCCCATTCTCAAGCATCATTCTGATTAACAGAAAAACTTTCCTGTGGGAATCAATCACATAATTTGGAGAAACAGTTTTTAAAAGAGTGCAACCAGGGATCTTATGGGGTGATGGAAATATCCTAAAACTGGGATTAGTCCTGTTCAACTTGGTAAACTTACTGAAAATCATTAAATTGTAGGCTTAAAACAGGTGAATTCTATGACACATAAACTGTATCTCAAGAAAGCTTTTTTAAAATGTGAACTAATTTTTTTTTCCTTTTTGTCTTTTTTCGTGACCGGCAACAGATCGCAACCCTCAGTGTCGCGCCCGTACCAGACCGGGACTGGCAATGGGATCGCAACCCTCGGTGTTGCTCCCGCACCTCGCTCAGCCAGTGAGCGGCCGGTCTGTATGTGGGATCCGAATCCTCGGCGGGAGCGCTGCCGCGCTTCTCAGGTGGCGCACTATAGCAGTGCACCACCGGGCCGGCCCAAATGTGAACTAATTTTATACTTAAAACTTTAAACCGGGAGCGCTGCCGCGCTTCCCAGGCGGCGCACTGTAGCAGTGCACCACCGGGCCGGCCCAAATGTGAACTAATTTTATACTTAAAAATTTAAAACTCAATGCAGCATCATTTCTCCAGGCCTCAATGAGGATTACAGAAATTTTCATATATTTGAAGCTTCCATACCTTTAATAAATTGAGATGCTTAAGCACACCACTGTTTATGGCTTTTTACTTTTCATTTATGCAAAATACTTTTTCCCAATAGATAAGACTTCTCAAAGACAGAAGTCTTTTAAAATACTTTTAAAATTCTCCACACCCAGCTCACACACTTGAGAGAGAAGGTACTCAAACATTTGTTTGTTGACTGTGAAACTGTGTTATATTTTAAATATACTTAATGATAGTAACAGTAAGTTTCTACTCCTGGGAAAAGAGACTCACAAGTAGGGACAGACCAGAGACAGGGAGGCTGGAACCATAAGCTATAAGGGTATACAAGAGAAACAAGAGAAATTATCCTTAAGATTTGATTAAGGGATTATGGAATAAAAAGAAATGGAGGAAGCAATAAGGCAACAGCTCAAATCACTGGAGCCACACCAAAACAAGAAAAAGTTTATGGAGGTGGGATGGAAGGTAAATGCTGAGTTCCTTTTTGGACATACAAAATTTGAGCTATCTATGGAGCATCCACAGATGGTGCTATCCTGCAAAGAACTAGAAATACAGGTATGAAGCCCACTAAGGTAAGTGGCTTGGTATGCGATCTGAAAGTCTGCAACATAAGGTGATAGTGGGTGACACCTGTGACTTCATTAATGGGTGAGCAGGGGAAGAGAAGGTAGTAGAAAGAGACCAACAAGCAGCAGGTGGGCAGGGGAAACTAAGAAGTGCCAGAGAAGCCAACGTGAAGGGTTTTGAGGAAGGTGTAATCAGCTAATGCTAAAAAGAACTCAAACAGGATAACAATAGGAAACATGCCAGGAATTCAGCAATTAGGTTGCTGGTAACCTTAGCAAGAAGTTTTACTAGATACATGGGACCAGACTATGGTAGAGAAAGAATGCAAAGTGAGAAGAGATGAGCTGTATGACTTACTCTTTTAAGAAGTAACTGATGCTGGTAAAGAAAAGAACGTGGGTAGTGGCTTAAGGTGGACGAAAGGATACAAGCACATGTGTAGCTTAACAGAATTAAGTCACTGAGAAGAATCAATGCTTGAAGTTACAAAAGCAAAGAATCATGTGACAAAATCTCACAGGATGAGATGGGGACAGAGCAAAGGTGGAAGGGCTAGCCTTAGAAGAGAGTAAAGACAACTCATTATCAAGGAGAAAAATGCGGCAAGAAGGGGTGAATACTTAGAAGTAGAAAGTAGAAAATTTGGTAAGAGTTCACACTTGATGACCTTCACTTTTTGACATCAAAGGTAATGTTGCTGCCAAGACTGAAGATGACTGATTTAGGAGTTTAAAAGTTGTAAATGTTTGGGACACTAGCTACAGAAAACTGGGAAGTATATATAAGTTCAGGTAAATAACTCATTTATCTTATAGCTAAATCAGCATATAAGAAGATGTATAATGCTTAGTACCTGCTATCTAGTAAAGCTCCAAATATTTCAGCTATTACAGACTATCTCCAGAAGAAGAGTAAAGACACTGGTAGCACTGGTTGCCTATACATAGGGAGATGACTTCAGTGGCAGGAGGACAGGCGGGCAAGAGAAACTTTTCATTTTAAACTGAGCCCAGGACAGTCTATACCTTGTTAAATTCTTTTTTTTTTGTCTTTTTTCGTGTCCGGCAACGGATCGCAACACTCAGTGTCGTGCCCGTACCGGACCGGGACCGGCATCAGGATCATCGTGTCCGGCAACGGATCGCAACCCTCAGTGTTGTGCCCGTACCGGACCGGGACCGGCATCAGGATCGCAACCTCGGTGTTGCTCCCACACCTCGCTCAGCCAGTGAGCAGGAACCGGTCTGTATGTGGGATCCGAACCCTCGGCGGGAGCGCCACCGCACTCCCAAGCGGCGCACTGTAGCAGTGCGCCACCGGGCCGGCCCATATACCTTGTTAAATTCTGAGCCATTTGAATATATTATCTATTTTAAATAATAATTTTTTTAAAGTTAGCTAATATTATTACTACTATATTCTTGTTTTAATAAATACACAAATCACTATCATTTCTATTGGAAAAAAAATACTTTCAGGGAATGACAGCAAGCTAAACTGCAACCCTCAGCTTTACAGAGCAGAAGGATAATCAATGGGACAGGAAAACCCAAGATGGCTGGGGAAAAAAAAGTTTCCACTGATAATAAATTTTAAACCAACAACTTGCATCGAAACCAGCTGTTGGTATCTCAGATCTTCAGAAAAAAACCCCTTTCCTTCCTGGACTCCAAGATGCAGGCCCAGTGGCAAAGGATCCTTCCTTACCCCCAATTCCTTGATGACTTGGCAGATGAGCATAAGTTAATAATACAGAAATCTTGGGAATAATAACAACTGGCAATATTCTAGCTCATTCACTTCTGGAGGTGACTTTCGTAGTAGCTTTGGCTCTCGGAGCCCATCTTTCTGAGATGGCCTATACACAAGCTTATCACTACTGATAACGGTTTAGTCCAAAGAAAGTCAACACTGACCTAGCCTAACCACTTTCTGATTTGAGAAAAAAAGCAAACCAGAAGGTAACTAATACTTTTGTACTAATTGGCCAGTGTGGACAATCAGAGTTGTTCTTTTTCTTCTAATGGTTCTCAAGGCAAGGGAAATGATTAACGTATGGAGAAGTTCTGGCCAACATTATTAGAACACCAAATATTTAACAGCTCCTTTCTCTACCCTCTTCCTCCACAATAAGTACATTCCAGTGCCAGACAGCCCCAGTAATTTCAGAAAAATGGCTATAACAATGTGATTCATTACTAAATTTCTGCGCATGCCCAAATTTCAGAGTCCTAAATGCCATTTTTAACCCTAAGTTCCTGGATGGATTCCCTTCCAATAGTCACCCTAAGTTATCTTACCACAAGTGGCACTTTTACTTTTAGAACAGTCAAATATCACCAACACTCAAGCAGGAATGTACTGATCTAGTTGAAGGTGTTCACTTAACGAACTGGGTTGAAGATGTAGAGCTCTACTATAAACCCTGAAACTCCGGTTATACATACAAAAGACCTCAGATACAGGTAATCAGTAATGGTTTCCTAAAGGAGAGGGAATTAAGAGAGTACACAAATTAGTAAGGGTATTCTATTCCGATTAAACAGCATGTGCAGATGCACAAAAACATCAACAAAACAGCAAGCAGAGTAGTTTAGCTGGAAGGCATACTCCATAAAAATGAAGATAAGTCAAAAGGGAAGGAGAAATCTATACACAAGGCTAATTGTTTTGATACTGAATTAACAGGAAAACAAATAGGGAATTGGTGGTTTAATGGAAGGGAATGACAAAATCAAGAACTGTGAACTCCAGGTTCAAATATGGCATGAAAAAAGAAAGAAAAAAAAAATCTGTGTAGGATACACTACAGTAGTCCCAGAGAGGAAATAAAATTAGCTAGAAGCATGCTGTAACAATTCCGATTCCAGCCCAATTTTCTTAATGTCATATCATAACTACACGTACAGTAAAAATTTCAAAGCTGGACAACTTCTAAGAGATCTTCTCTACCCCCCTTACTCTTCACAGGACACATTTTATATACTGTTTATTGTCTGCACCTCACCTCCCACCACCAAACCACAGAGGGGGTTACATTACCCTGAGAACATAATGCCCGAGAGAGCAGAAAGTGTCTGGTTTGTTCATCCTAGCCCCCAGAACACTGCCTGGCACATAGCAGAGACTAAAAAATACTTGTTTATTGAATAAAGAAAACAAACAAGAAAGAAGCAGCTAAGACCCAGAGAGGTAAGTCAAAAAGCTAAGCAGCATGTATTCCAAATCTATCAAGTCATGGTCCAGGGCTATTCCCACTATACTGTTACCCTCCTTACTGTTTTCATGTCTCTTTTTCTTTTTTTTTTTTTCCTTTTTGTCTTTTTTCGTGTCCGGCAACGGATCGCAACCCTCAGTGTCGCACCCGTACCGGACCGGGACCGGCAATGGGATCGCAACCCTCGGTGTTGCACCCACACCTCGCTCAGCCAGTGAGCGGGAACCGGTCTGTATGTGGGATCCGAACCCTCGGCGGGAGCGCCACCATGCTCACAAGCAGCGCACTGTAGCGGTGCGCCACCGGGCCGGCCCTCATGTCTCTTTTTCTATTCCAGAAAATACTTAAGCTCTATCCTCAATGACTGGCCCCTATTCTCCCAAATCTGATCCACTTTGATCGCAGTAACAAATCTCTAAAAGTGAGAATTTTAATACAGAATTTTAAAATTAGCATATTCATTGTTACAAATCATACTTATTCTTCAATCTGTCCCCTTCCCCCTGTCCCTCCCCCTCTAATAACCATAGATTTGTTCTCTCCATCAATACAGAATTTTTATGTGGAATTTTCCTATAAAAAGGATAAGTTCTAGATGTATTACACACATCACAGATGTATTAAATAGTGCGCAGCACTAACCAAGTCTGTGGGCTCATCTTCCTCCACCTCAGCTTCATCATCTTCATCTTCGATTATCGAATCCTCCACTGTTTCCTCATCTTCTGTCAGATCTTGAGCCACTGCTAATGAGCCTAATAATAAAATATAAAACAAGCAGTTAATCTTTACCCTGTGCTGCAGATCGAACATCCCCCCACCCCTGCCCAAACTCACTGAAGCTTCATCCCCACCATAACTGCTAGTGTGGGAAATCCATTACAGTAATGGAAAGGTGGGGCCAGGAAGAGTGATCAGATTTTGAGGACCATGCCCTAGTGAATGGATTAACAGTGGTGGTCATGGGTGTGGTTCTCATGGTTTAAAAGGAGAGCACACGAGAGTGCCTCTCTCTCTCTCTCTCTCTGCTTCCATCATGTAACACTTTTTTTTTTTTGCTGTGAAGAGGCATTACCCAACAACAAGGCTCTCATCAGATGTGTTCCCTGGACTTTGGACTTCCCAGCCTCCAAAACTGTAAGCAATAAATTTCATTTTCTTTGCAAATTACCCAGTTCCAGGTTATGTTGTTATAAGCAACAGAAACGAACTAATACACCCCGGAATACCAATGTTTTTTAAATATCAAGTACAAGCAAGAAAACTTTCTCTTTGGCATAACTTGATCTCCCAGTTTATTTGAATGATGCCAAATTACAACACATCTAAGAATATTTATATTATTTTATTATACTAGTAGTCATAACAACTGCATGTTAATTTTAATAGGAAATGCTACTTAATTTTAAAAGGCACCCAACTGTTAGAAAAATGAACTGCAGGAACTAAAGATGCTCTAAAACCCAAGAAAACTTCAAAAATTTTGTTAAGCAAATTAAGGAATATAAATTTGTTGCAAAGGTAAGAAACTCCTCAATTGTAATCCCTGTTCTTAACCACATAAAACCAGAAAACAAACAAAACCCCCTCAGTTCTAAAAGAAAATAGCATTTTCAAGAACCATTGTTATTAGAGTTGACTACAGAGGAAACCAGAATTTGATAGCATGTAATTCCAAGAAACAAATCATATCCATGGTAAAAACGAGCTTGCAGGAAATATATTCTGTTTAGTAAAAACTATATTGGCAGCTTCAGGGTTGGTTGATAAGGAAGAAAGAACACAATTATTTTTGCATATGGCTTCAAACATGTTTTAAAATACTTTTTTTTACTTCTCCCACACTTAATATCACAAAGTAAAAGCTAAATGTAATTGTAATGCCAAGAAATTATAAATCACAGTTTTATAGGCAAAAGTATTCCAAATAAGTCACATTAAATCTATTTCAGGCAAGACCCTCAAAAGAATTTCAAAGTTTTAGTGACTCTTCCAACGTTTCTCAAATACAATGATGATGTGGCAAGTCAGCAGAAAAAAAAAATCTGGGAGAGGAAGCATGTGCGACACCCAGGAAAAATAGTATATATTTAGGACCATGCATTTTAAGACCCTTCCACGTCCCTGAGTTCCTACTGGCTGTTAAAATTTCTGCAAAATATTAAAGAATAATGAGCCACACGTTGTAAACTGAAAAACAGTTCACACCGCTTGCTGAACGGAGACTAAAATACTGCATTCATAACAATCATCGCTCAAAAAATGTTCACAAGATACTCAGTTCAGTTTAGATTACTAAATTGATGTTTCTTAAAGAAAACGTATTTAAAACCTGAAAAATACAGTCTAGATTCTACAACAAGTAGAACTGTCAAATTTTCTTTAAAAAGCCAAATGAGAACAAACCAGCAAGCAACTCCTAAAGGAAAAGAATCTCTTTAGACCTGCAAATGAATTACACTAACAGTTCTGGTTAATTCTCCCACTCGGTTTTTTATCCACTAAATAGAAGCTGCCAGTCACTTCACTTTTCTTTGCAAAATAACTCCTGGGTACTTCTCTTTGCAAAATAACTCCTGGGTACTGTCATGATCATTCATTATGCCACCCAGCTTGCTTAAACTTACAGAATGGAAAGGAATTCTAGAGATCATTTAATCTGACTAATTCTTTTCCTTAAAAACCAGAAAATCAAAGTTCATGATAAAACCAGGGCAAGAGCCAAGTTCCCACATTTTTATGTTCTGCTATCTAGATTATTCTCACACCAGATTAACTGCTGGAAAGAATAAACCTATATTAAAAAACTAAAACTCGACGTAGACTACACTCGAACTTTTTCCAGCACAATACGATGCTTCCACAAACAAAAATGTTAGAAAGAAAGAAAGAAAGAGAGAGAGAGAGAGGGAGGGAGGGAG